CATATATATGTATGTATTTAAACCTACTGTCCGTAATAATATAGTAATTCTAAGAAGAAGAAGACTTTAAAAATTCACAAAATATAAAGAAAGAAATGCAAGCCATTTGCGGTCGCACCATTCTGAGATAACCACTGTTAATAGTTTGGAATTATTTCTCCTCTTTTGCTGTGTCTTTGTATCAATAAAACTGCATATTTGTTTATGTAACTGAGATCATATTAAATTTACAGTCACTATTAAAAAGAGGACTATGGGGAAGTCTTCGTTTATGGTTTACCTTTGTATATAAGTTAATTATTTATATTGTGGATTTCCTTTATGAGGAGTCAGTCTATATTATGAAGGTATACGTTTCACTTTGAGAAATTTCACACTGTCAAATAGGTACACCTTTTCTTCCAAGAATGAACTATCCTTTTCACCATAAGTGTCTCGCTTTAACCGGAAATGCAAGGTGCTATATATGTTTATGCCAGAGGGGGAAACAGGAGATGATTACAGAATTTCAATAGAGAATTTTTAAGTCAGGGATTGGTAATGAGTATGTTTTATATGAGCAGAAGCCTCTAACATAGGGCTTTTCTGGTGGAAGTACAGTTTGAGAGTTGACCCTCACTGGTGCAGCGTGTTACTGCAGTAGAATTCCTAATTAAAGGGACAAAAATGCCCAGATCAATGCAGGGAGAGGGCAAAGTCTAGAAGTCCCCAAGGGTAGAGTTAGGTAACTTCAGCAACAAGAAAGACATCCCTGTGGTCATGAGGATGAGGGACGTGACCAGTGGTAATAGACACCTAATTTTCAAATGACAAGTGAACTGCCACAGGACTGGAAGTTACTCTCCATCCAAGGTTTTTAACTCAGCCTGTTTGGGAGCTGTCTTCTGGTAACATGTCTCTAATTTTATGACGGCAGTTAGTAGGAAAATAGGATCTACGTCAGACTTAGAGGCTAGAACGCTTCTATTTGATAATGTGAAGAATGTTTGATAAGTGGTTTCACAAGTGGATGTAATTAATTTCAAGTCACTGTTGAATTGACAGAATGATCAGTAATGCTTCCTTCTGTTATATTTCCTCAAAGTAGTAATTATACATTTAAAATGAGTATCTGTAGGTAGCCTCTCAAGGAACCTGGGTAGTCATTAAAAACAACAAAGCCAGCCACAAAAGGCTGTAAAGACAAATTGGAACAGCGGTCCCTCCCTTATCATTGCCCGCATCATGATCTACTTATTGCCCTGGTAGGCATGAGAAGAATGAGGAGTGATTGAACTGGGGAAAAAAAATTCATTGCTGATAAGTAGAAATATCTACCTGCAAGACTAAAATGATGGTTAAATGAGGAAAATTGCTCCCCTAGGGAGAAATCTGAAGTGATCTGCCTTGTGTTTGAACACAGAAACTTATCACCATTGTTCTGTGTTCTTCGATCGACAGCACTCTCTTAATTCTGAATGGCAGCATGGCTGACAGACATGGCGCTTTAGAAAGAAAGAAAAGCTCATGCAGCATGTTGGAGTCCTCTAAAATGATACAGAGCCTAGAACTTGTATAGTTACACTATTTGGGAGCCATGTTTCCTTTTAAAGATCTGAAAGAAGATAAAACCAATGACATCACAATCCCTGGAGTTTGACTCGTGGGATGATTCTAGATGTATCATCTACTAGCTGCTCATTTTCAGGGAGATATAAATGAATAAGCTTTTTGTTTGTAGAAGAACTTGTATAGCAAGTATGCTACCAGTGATCCTGTGGGGAACCGATGTAGCAATTTGCTGACAGACGTCAAAATATTTTATAAATTGTAGTCAGGCATCTTTTATCTCTGCTTTAGAGACAAGATCATTTTGAAGGTATGAGGAAGAAATATTTTTTGTATCCTGAAGTAGACCTTCAGATCATATTTCAGTAGATTACTGACATTTTCACAAACCATAAGGTACTTTTTGCTATATCTAGCTCCCCAAATCACTGAGATCTCACCTGTGTATACAGCTGTCACTTGTGGTCCTAAGGCAGACGGTTCCTTTTTAGCACCCAACACTTACATGGAATAAACCCATGCTGGGTGGGGCTGGCCAGCATGATCCTTATGTGATGCCAAAAATCTGTCCCCAGACTATAAAGCTAGACCTCAAGCCCCTAGTCTCACCCTGTCCCTAAAGCACCCAAGCTTGCTGGACTGCTGGTACTCAGAGAGCTGCACTTCACTTTGAAAGCGCACCCCTTGAATGATCACAGCTGATTTCTGACGTGGTCAGTTGCAGTTAATAATAGGGCGCTTTTGTAGCAACCTTCGTGAGTAAACAGATGAGATGAATAAATCAGCTGCCATCATTATCTCACATATATTTTAGAAGTTCATGTTCTTTTCACCCTCTCTCCCCGCTTAAAGGTTTACCTTTTTCTAGCTCCTCTTAATGTTCCACTGAAAACAGTGTTCCCATTCATACACAGATGGTTAGCATGACTCACAAAGTCACCAAGTGAAATGACTTCTAGTGGTACATGTTCTGTCAACCCCCAGCCCTTGGTTATTTTTTCCCAACTGTGATATACACTATGTTTTGCTTCTCCTCTAACTGAAGATTTCTGCCTTTTTAAAAAAAAATACATAGGCTTCATATATCCAAGAAAATGTTTTTCACAGTATTTTCTCAGGGACCTTGAGGTTGTTGTATAAGATGTCACTATCATTATGATAATTTAGTCTTTGTCCTGATGCTCTACTTTAAATGTTTTTTCAAGTGCTGTGGAACATTGGGAAAGGAATGCTTCACGCTTCCTGGCCATCTAGAAAGAATTTGCTGTGAATCAACAATTCAATGTATCAGAAGCCTAGTGAGGAAGCAAGCCGAACAAAGTAAAGTGACTTCTAGAAGGTGATTTAATGCATAAAAATTTCCATTGGCTATTGATACTCTTAGTGAAATGGGCTGCTGTAGTCCATTCTCAGGCCTCCTCCAGTCGCTTCCTGCTCCCCTCCCAGTGTGTTGTTTGGTGGTGGGAACGTTTTCCTGCTTCTTCCCCCAAATCCATAAACTCTTCCACCCCTTTCCCTAGTAGTTGCATTCCAGTCTACTCTTTCCTGTACAGTTTGACTCTGTGTGTGTATCCCTGGCATTTGATAAAAAGAGTACCGAATTGTGGGAACGAGGGGACTCGGGTTCTCTTCCTAACGGCCACTACCCAGCTTGGTGACCTTTCTGGATCTCCGTTTCCTCACCAGGAAGCTGGAAAAGTTGGACTAGATAATTCCTAAGGTTTCTCTGGATGCTGACACAGTGTGACGCTGTGACTCCCGTTTTAAAAATGGCTTGTTTCGTTTTACTTCCAGGGAATCAATCACCGCTAGCCATTTAGAAGTCATAAGAGGTCCCTAACTTTTAAAATGGCCATTGCCAACTTAAATGTAGGCAACAAAGTGAAAGATAGTCCAGTTTTAAAACTTTTACATTCTAGATTTCTTTTTCACAAAAGGATTTCCTTTAGGAAGAAAAATACTCTATTCTAAACCATATATGCTTCTATTATATTACTGCGTCATCCTCTAAGTCAATATTATATGTATAAATCTAAATTAAGCAAACATATTAGGGAGTGATTATTCACTTTACAAATAGATATTTTCCTTTGCAGAAGGACACACTATAGGGTTTCTTTACTGTCCTCCTCATGACTTGAAGATTAATTCATTCACATAAGTTCAACCCATATGGAACTTTTTAGGAACAAATCTCTTTTGTAGACTGAGTGACACCGTATTGAGTCAGATACTCAATGTACAGTTGTAATGTGTATAAGATTTTTCTCAGTTTCTTATCAGGCAAACATTATTTTTATATTGGGTACATTTGCAAGAGGTGTTTTTCCCTCAGCCTTCGAAAAGCAAACTAAATCACATCTCTGGGTTTTAAGAAAATTCTTTTATTACTTTAGTTTCCTTGTCTGTAAAGTCACCCCCTTCCTCATTCCCTTTTAAAAAATGGTAGGAATGCACTTTTCTAACTTTTGACAAAAAGCAGGCTTTTTATTTAAAGGTCACCTGTGTTGCCTGAACTTTCCTTGGAAAGCTTCAGGTTGTTCAGTTTTTAAGGAATGCTCATTATAATTAATCATTACAGAGAATAGGGTTTTCTTCCTTAATTGCATCCTGAGCTGTCTCTTGTTCCCTGCAAAACCTTAGAGTAAGAGCAGCTTCTTTCACTGCAAATGATACATAAACATGTTTGGCTTCATAGCTTTTCAGAGCACCTCTTCATTAGCCATGCTTTATTTTAAAATCTTAAACTAATTCTTTCAGAGTTCATGGGGGTGATTATTAGCTAGTCCAGGTATTTTAGAGCTGCATGTATATTAGTTAAAATACAAGTTTTCAGATTGTTGTTCAGTGGCCTTTGTGAAATAAATTGGCAGCTTTATGTTCCTGATAGACAAGATGTCTAAGTCTCCTACATCTCCTACATGAATCAAAATTGGCACTAATTGGTGTTTTGGTAAGCTCTGCAAAAGCCAAGAATTGGTCCATGGAGACCAAACTAATTTCTAAGCTAAAGGTGTCCGATTTGCAGGGATTTTAGAGAAGAGCAGCTTATATGTATTTTGGTCAAGGAGACCTTTGCAGTTGTTTTCACAAAATAACAACAGGGGGAAAAAAAGAAAACGAACCTCAGCTGAGGTAGATGGTGAAGTGGAGTTTTTATAGTAGACTATTTTAAAAGGTTACTTGTGCCCAAGTGATGGTTTTGCAGTCAATTACCCTTTTTGATTTATTTGTGTAGTATTTCTTGTGCTTTTAAGAGCTTCTCACTTGAAGGAGATTTGAAAGCAAGTACAGCTACAGGAACTGGTCAGATAATGGATAAAAACAGCCTAACAATATAGTCCTTGTTGACATCTCATTTGGTTCAAGAGAAGATTATTTTTTAAGTCACGAAGGCAAGAGTTGTCTCTAGGTGGTACTAGGATTACATGTCATCTTTATTTTCTCCTTTATACTTTTCAAAAGGGATTTTTTTTTTTTTGGTAATATGCACGTACTATTTTTATAAACAAAAAAAAAATCCATGTTTATAATTTTTAAGGTTTACAAAAGTAAAAATTACTGAGGAAAAAACCCTGAATTGCAGCAACACTGTTTTTAAAATTTATTATTTGGCCAGATTCTGAAGTGTTAATTGTTAACCATTGTTAATTGTTAAGTGTTAATTGTTAATCAGATGGACACTTTCAAAACTTCAGACTTACTTCTGAAGTTGATGGGTGGCTTAAAGCGATGAGGAATCACAACTTTGAGGATTTGATGGGCAGATCTGGACAATCAATACGTAGTCGACATTATTTTTGTGTGGTCGACATTATCAGGATTGGGGGAAGTGTTTCATTAGGATCTGTGCAAATTGTCATCAGCCTTTATGATGAAAATGCTAATTTTACTTGCTCAAATAAGAACTATTCTTGGTGGAGACCCAAGTTTGGAGTATTTTCTTCTTTCATGTGGAATTTGCTTTCATTGGGAAGAGGAAGAGTCAGTCTGCAGAAGGCTGAGCTGGGGATGGGGCAAAAGGTACCGTGGGGCTATGAGTGAATGAGTTGAAGGTGCTGCGTTATGGGTTTTGTGCTTTCAGGCAAAAATATCACTTGTGGCTTTGTCCTCCTACAAATATTAGAAACACCAGACTCTGGGTCAGACCCATGGGTTGTCCAATGCAGTGTTTGTTTCTGACCGTGGTACCACAGGCTGTTTTGTGAGAGAGAGCATGTGTGTCTCCTATGATGCCAGCCTCTAGAAGTTAGGGGGTGCCCTCTCCTTAGAAACAGAGTCCTTCCATTCAATTCAATGGAACTGGCATACTGAGCCTGGCAGGTCAGTCTTACATGAATGACCAGCGACTGGCTGCTGTGTTAATTGCAAAGCCTATTTTGCCAAATGATATCAGCAACAAAGCCATGTCAGACAAACGTTTGATTCTTTGACCTCCTGATATTTTTTATTTTATTCAAGGTGAACCCACTGAAAATCAGTGGAGTGAGCTATGGCTATAGCGTTACAGGGAAACCCAACATTTGGTTCTGAAAATGGGGACGAGTGGGACTAACTGTGACATTGCTAAAACAGGATGAACCTGAGGAAGTAAATTGGTTTTATTGGCCAGGATGTGATCAGGGGCAGATTTAGCTTTGAGGGTCAGGACCGTGTAGGTAATTGGGGACCCAAATGGTCCAAGGCTTGCGTGGAGCCTACTCCACTTCACCAGAGCACATTTTATGCTCACTGATGCTTTTAGCCAGATGACTTTTTCATGTTTCAGCGTATCCAGATTGTTGGCTTGCTGATTAGGCTCACAAGTAAAAGCGAGACCCTTTTGTAGTGCGGCTAGTGAATTATAGCACTAACACTTGCCTTATAGACAGGCTAGGGTGTTCTAAACTTTGTGCAATTGAGCAGAGCATAATATGGACTATGTATTATAATGAGGAGGGAGAGGGCACTTATTTTTAATGTTCCTGCGTTGAGAGTCACTGCATTAGGGGGTAATAGTTTTAAATGAAGCCACATTTCTAACAAGGGACCAGATAACAAGGATAAATGAAATCTGCAGACAGTCTAGAAGCTTCATTTTAGCCATTATTTATAATCTCTTCTCCTACCAAACCTTTTTACTATGTAGCAAAATTGATTAATTTGCGTGTATCTCTTTTCCCTGTGCCCACGTGCTCTCTGATAGAGCAGTGAACAAATAGAGAGATGGACAAGAGAGGAAAGAGGATGAGGCCGAGGCCAGGGGGAGTTGGGGATGCATAATCCCCACACTGAATAATCAACTCCAGAATAATCAAGATATATCTTAGGGCCCTAACATTAATCTTGATATTTAATCATTCTGGGTGATGTTAAAAACAAAAGATTGTATAATAGCATTAATAAAAATCACTTGCTTTGGAAAGGTTCGGAATAAACATGGCTTTCTTTTTAACATGAAATAGGAATCTGTTGAACTGCTCTTAATGTTCGCTCACAGCACACACAGATACAGTTCTGTTTAATTCCATATCCTCTTATCTATCAGTCCTACATTTAATTTGCTACCATTCGAGTTGATTTATAGCTTTGCTTAGCAAAAGTACAGTCTTGATTAAAAGGACATTATCACAGCTGATGGACCTTGAAAGCATTTTTCTCTCCAGACCTTCTAATAATTTTGAAAATGACCTGAAGACTCCGATAAGGCTAGATTTGCGCGTCTCCAGCTTTTGCTCACCTGGCTGTACTTTGGGCAGTGGTGGCTAGGGGTGTTTGGTGACATAGTTTTCCCATATGCTAACTCCTTATCCATCCTGAGAAATGGAAAGTTACTGCGATAGAGTTTTCTAGCAAGTTTGCCTCAAGGAATCCCAGACCCCTGGTTAGCTGACCTCTTATCTAGCTGATCATTGCAGCTAGAGCCTTTGTCTCTTGGGATGCTGCTGGCCTGAAGGATTCTCCAGTCTGTTGAAGGGAGGATTCAATTATTATACACGAGGGTTCCATTTTGGAGTTGCAGCTGTGACAGATGCCTCCCTCCAACAGTACAGAATTAGTTTTGGTGCTCATTTCAGTGGAGATGACTTAATTTGCAAAGCCAGTGATTACCACAAGTTGGCCAGATTGGGTCAGTCTCCACAGCAGGCCATTTTCCACTCCCCTGTTTTGATTGCGCAGTATGACTACTTGGTGGCGTCTGTGGTTCTGGGAGCGAGATGCTGTTGCTCAACAGGTGACAAAAGGCTATATTATACTTTGATTCTGTTCAGAACGTTATTACCATTCTCCTGATTCCACTAGTTGAAAAAAAAATGAGTCACTCTGGCTTTGGCTTTATATCTCTGTGGAGTATATTTTTGACCTAAGAAATAAGTTATTTCTCACAAAGGAATCACTTGGATATCGCCATACCTACAGTGCAATTTACAGGGGCTTTCGATTGTTCAGAATCGTAGGAACACAGAAAAGAATTAAAAATTGTAAATGTGGTACTAATTCAAAATGGGGGAATTTGGGTAATTTTTTTCATGTCAGATTTGATGGTGGGGCCTTCTCAAAATACAACAGTAAATCAGTTTTATCCATGAGTAATTTTTATTTTGGTCAACATGTCCTTCCAGTTTGGTCTTAACCTCTTCATATGCATATATCTTTATTAAGATATTATTTGCATACCATGCAATTGGTCTTACCTCTTTTCATTTTTAAATTACTAGGCTTCAAAGTCTCTGTCATTTTTGTTGAATAGCACAGAATGTACTCCTATGAAGAAAGGATTTATGTCTAAATCACCTCCAATTTGCCTGAATCACTTTTTTTCCCCCAATACTTAGCCACAGTTTGTCGGAGCTCGACTGATATTAGAGGTTATCTAGTTAACCCGGAATAAAGATCACCTGGGGAGTTATTCTTTTTACAAACTGTACTTGCTGAAGTAGGAAACCTGAAATTCTGATACCCTTCGCAGCCCGCACCCCGACCCCATACCAATTAAACAGCACTGATTGAGTCTAACATTCTCATCTCACAGATAGGGAAACAGTCTTCCTCTCACAGTTTAGATGAGACACCTTAATAAACACCAAAACTCTTTTCAATTTTAACATGACAGATTTTTGATACATTGAGTTGAATTTGCAGAATTCACCTCAGTGAATGATGGGAGCATAAATTATTTATGCCGTATGTTTTTAAAAACAAATTATGAAGGATCTAATATTGTTGAAGGAAAAAATTTCAAAGTCACTGATCAGAAAGTCAGTATACAGAAACTGTTGCAAATTTGTCATTGTCTCCGTAACGTGTCAGGCACTAGGGAGATTAGTAGATGTCCTTTATCCTGGAAATGCCTGATAGCTAAGCACTCATATTTCTTCTCAGCTGTCCATAGTCATTTCCCACAGGGTATGAGAGGCCTTACTGTGTTAGTTTTTAAACAGCTGCCCTGATTGCATTTTCAGCAGAAGGATATTCATAAGAATACTGATATTAGGTAGAAGAAATAGCCACAGAGATAGGCTTTAATAAAAAAAACATCAACTGCTCATAAGATCTGACAGACTCTAATGGATGGATGTGTGAAGACCTGGGGAAAAAATAAAATGGATTTTCCAGAGGACTTCTTATTCCCTGAAAAACTGGGAAATTTCAGGCTAAGCGCAGAAGAAACAAAAGAAGTTTTCATGGACCCCTTTTCCTCTTCTAGACCTTTATTACCTCCATACAGATGAATGGATGTAGCCACCTGCTCTGAAAAGAAGCCCCTTTCTCTGGTAAAAATGTTTACCCTCCTGGACCTTGGACAACCTTAAACTCCACCTGGGAACCCTTGATCTAAAGCAACCATAGATTTGGGAGAGCAGAATGGAGTTGTTACACTTTTGAAATGTCATTTTTGTTATCAGTGTATATAAAGAAGATAAGAACTTTTTGTGATCTTTAGCACTATACACTATTCTGTGTGAGACATGACGGGAAAGGACAGATTCCTTGTGATTGAATGCTAATCAAAGAAAAAGTAGATTACTTTCTTAAAACATTAGCAAGAAATTGCCCACACTTAGGAGACCACCTTTTTCAGGGCACCATCAAAAGTTTGTCTTTCACATAATAAAGTTATAGTGGTCTCTGGGTTAGTATATAAGAAACTGTGTAAAAATGCCCTGCCCCAGAGTCATTTGAAATCTTTATTGCTCTCGGATTTGGCAGCAGTGTTGTAGATAGATATACAGTGAGGGTTTGCCACCTGCGCACTTTAAGCCATAATACATTTTTTTAGAAATGCCGTAATGGGTGACGATGCAGGATCTGATCGCTAGATTTTTTTCAGTCTTATCTGTGTTTGTTTATCTACATATAACTCAAGGTTTCAAAGAGACTAGACAGTTTGGGAAGAGAGTCAGCAGTCCCAGAAGTTTTGAAACTCAATCTGAAATGGTGATTATCCCTGAAAGCAGGATGGTTGCTTGCTATCTCTCTGAAGTCGGTTCCCTTGGTCTAGTTCCTTATTGTCGTGAGCCACAATTTGGGGGTGGGGGCAGGACTCTTGCCATCATCGATTGTCTTATTCTACACACAGCCCCAGAATGGTGGTCCTGGTTCCAAACAGAATGGCATAGCCCGGTGCATGCTGGGCACATGCAAAAATCAGTGTTTTCAAGTCTCCATGGCCATCATAATGGCCTTCAATCCTCAAAGTCAGTGTTTCGGAAAGAGAAAACAGATATGCCCTTCCAAAAGCAAGGGGAAGGGAAGAGCTGCATTCTCTGAAAGTTAAATTATAACTTTTTCTTTCTGTTTCTGTGAAGAAGACTGTACTAATAAAACTGCCGATTTCTTTCAGGTGGGTGTACATGGCATTAGAATAGAATTCATCAACGAAAAAGGATCAAAACGCACCGCCACCTACCTACCGGAGGTTGCAAAGGAGCAAGGTCACTGTTGTACTTTATTTCATATGACCTAGTGAAGAATTTAAACAAATAATACATATTGAAATGCGCTATCTGACCTTGCAGTTATATCTGGTAATTGATCGCTGTTAGATCATAAGAAATGACTCTTCCATCGCTGCCACTGCAATGTCTGTATGAAATCGGTGAATTACACAGAAGTTGAATCTCTGCACTGAAGTTTGGCGGCAAAAACATATAAAAGTATACTTTCAAAAAAAGCATAGATTCGTAAAAGTTGGGCTTTATTTTAGGCAATGGTTTGCTATGAATTTTAAGTGCCATTTTCCCATATTCCACTGGGCTGTAGCCTTGTGGCATAAACAAGCCTTTAGTTTGACGATCAGCCACACCGTTCATTGTCAGTATCGAATGTTTCCTTCTTAGGTGGTTGCCATTACTCCTTCTGCTATTATTAAGATTGTAAGTGTCCCATGAAGAAAAGGAGCATTGAGAATACCTGAACTACTAGTGTTTTATATGTTCCTAATCAACAAACGTTTTTCGATTTTACAGATATGGCACAAACCTTTATGAACTACCAGTGTAACACAAAATAACGTTTCACTCTGTAGTATCTTGTCCTTTCTAGCCACTACTAAATTATAGTTTCATGTTAGTTGAAATGAATACCTCTTCTTTATCTCATGGAGCTTTTCTTCTCATCAGAAAGCATTGGTAATTTGGTTTTCCCATATCTGTTTCATATAAATATGATATATAACTACAAAATTTAATATCATTAAACCCCCAAATGAGAGCGTTAGTCTTTAAAGCAGCTATCTGCAGATTTATTTGGGTTGCTTTCGAAAATTTCTTAATTCTGTAGTTCCACTGACTCTGTAAAACATACATAAGAGGTCGAGGGCCTCGGGTATGAGTGTGCATCCCGTGTCAGAACCCATAAAAATGCCTTTGAACGCTGCACACAGATGCACTTGATAGCCTGCAGAAGATACGGTTAGAAATGGCGATTACCATGAGTTAGTGTGGGAGTTCTAAGTACTACTGAGTTGGCTCAGTGAGGCTTTTCCTTCCCTTTTAAAGATGTCACCGTTAGAGGAGAGTACAATGTTTGTGGCTTGTTACTGAGACACGACCGAGCAGTTACTGCCCGCCAGCCTCTTAGGCTCCTTGCCTTCGAATGCAGTTGAGGTAAAGAAGCCAATGTTGCTAGCCAGCAGGGATAGCTAGAATTTAAGGTGTCCCGTGGTGTCCCTGCTTCTGTACAGGATGAAATCTTAGCTCTTCTGTGCGACTGTTTTCAGGACCAAAGGGGTCGGTGACAGTGATAGCTGACCTCTACAGTCATTTTGTATTTAACCAAAAGTGCTTGTTACATGTGCTTGACTGGTATTTTATCTGGTCTGCTCTCCACAGGATGGGACCATATTCAGACCATAGACTCCTTACTGAGGAAAGGAGGATACAAAGCTCCGATTACTAATGAATTCAGGAAAACCATAAAACTGACCAGGTACAGAAGGCATTTCCTAGTGCAAGGCTGACCAGTACATTTTGATGCGTATACCTGTAACCTTTTGATTTCTTTGGTCTCTCTAACTATACTTGCTTCTCCTTTCTGAAACAGAGTGGAAATGAATGGCAGGGCTGTACTGAGGGTGAATACAATGAACTCTGCTTGGCAGTAAAGCCCATATGATGTATGAGCCCATCCTTCGCATCATAGCTCTGTGGGCTTACTCTGGCTTTGTTAAAGAAAGCCCTCTGAGCCTTTAGAGTACATTATTGAAGAAAGTTGCCTGAATTAGAAATTGGCCAGCTTTTGACATTGCTTAGCAGAACCCCAGGATCCTGATAAGCAGTCCTCAAATTTGAATTTCACCTTAGAATTTTGGCAGTGATAGAAAGCTTGCTGAAAAGCACAACTGACAAATGCTAAATGTATTTCTGCACGGGCTCATAGGGGTACTTATTTAAAAAGGAAAATATCAAACGTTTTGGGAAAATGAGTTGCTGTTTCCATTTCTTTTAATTCCACAAAACCACAGTGAATGCCTGTAGTCTAAAAATGGACTATTCTCAGCTCTGAGGAGTTACAAATTTGAAAATGCCTGCATTGCTGCTCTCTCTGAGTTCATATTCTAGGAGAATAGAAGGGCATGTACAAAAATAATTATTAATATACAGCAGAATGGGATAGATGATATGAGATCATAGAGTAGGGAAAGAGGAATTCCAGGAGGGGGTTGAGGGTAACAGAAAATTTCAAAGAGGAGGTAGATGTGAGGCTGGGCTTGAAGAATGAGTAGAATATTTGACAGGTGGAGAGTGGGGGAGCAAAGGGATTAACTTAAACAGAACTTGGTGAGTCAAGGCATGTAGGTGGCGAAGTATGGGGCAAGTTCTAAGGAATCTTCTCAATGTCTGATTTGGTTGGTCTCTCAGTGTACATAGAGAAGGTGGTCACTGGGGAAAATATGGCCCAGAAGGTAGAGCGTAAGAAGTTTAAACCTGATGCTATAGTCAATTGGTAGCCATTGAAGGGTTCTGAACAGATGGATTTGGGGAAGTGTAAGATTAGAATTGGAAACAGGAAAAATAATTAGGAGACACTGTTATTATCTAAGAATCTGTGGCAGCAATCCAAAGAAGGTGAAATGGGAGCCTTAACACGAGCTGTGGCAGTGGGATGGGAAGAAAGGAAGGAAAAAAAATATTGTGGGGAAAATGAAAGGACTTAGTCATCATTCGGAAGTAGGGAAGAGGAGCCAGTCAAGGCTTTCATCTCAATAAAAGGGACCAAGGCAGTCCCTTTCACCAAGAGAGGGACCACGTTGGGGAGAGTTACGTTAACGTATTGATTCTGGATTTGAAGTGCTTCCTAGGCTATCTGTATAGAAACGTCCAATAGGTCACTGAAAATGTACGTGTGTAGAGCTCATGGCTAGAGATGGTGATTTGGGATCATCTGTAAAGAGGACATAGTTGAAGCTGTGAGGCAAGAGTTCACTGAGCTGGGACAGAGCGTAGGGGCAGAAGAACTGAAGGTAGAAATGTAGGCAACTCCTACAAGGCGAGGGTAGGATGAGTAGTCAGAGAGATAGGGAGCAGTCCGAGAGGCAGGGGGAGAACCAAGGGAGTATGGAGTTGTGGAACACAAGGCACAAAAGAGCTTCCAAAAGGGAGCGCTGCGCGGTATCCTAATGGAGAGGCCAGGCATGATGAGGGGTGGCTTCTGAAAGAGCAGTTTCTGCGGAAGCGTGGCAGTAGAAGCCAAGAGGCACAGGGCCGAGGAGCGGTGTGAGATGAGGTAGAAAATACACGTTACTCTTCTGAGAAGTGTGCCAATGAAAAGAAACCTGAAGATGGGGGGAAAGAGGATTGAGATACCACGATCAAGACGAGTTTTTTGTTGCTACTGTTTTCCCTTAACGGCAAGACCTGAGACACGTGGACAGAAGGAAAGGAATGGTTAAAGAGGAAGCAACGGAAGATCCCGGAAGAAAAAGTAGTCAAGTGAATGAAATGCATGCATGACAGTAATAGGCTGGCTTTCCTCCGTTCTTTCCTGTTAGCAAACCGGAGCTGAGGAGGGCAATACAATTTCTAGAACAATTTAAACAAGGAGTGGTAGAGTGCAAAGAGCACCGGACTCAGACTCTGGATTCCTGGGTTCTGATCTCAGCTTTGCTGCTTATTAGCTGTGTGACAGTGGGCAAGTCACTTCTTCTCTCTAGGCCTCTGTTTCCTCATCTAGAAAATTATCTCTAAGGGTCCCTCCTAGCTCTGACATTCACATGTCACCTATTTCGTGATGTTAACTTTGTCTCTTCCCTAACTTTCTTTCAGGTACCGTAGTGAAAAGATGACCTTGAGCTATGCTGAATACCTTGCTCATCGCCAGCATCATCATTTCCAAAATGGCATTGGGCATCCCCTTCCGCCATACAACCATTATTCCTGACACTGAGCCACACAACCAGTCACTGGGCCTCTCTGCAGACCTCTTCCCAGGAGACCCTACCCCTTCTTGGTCTAGCTATCTCTTTTACTGTACCATTTTATGATGATAGTTTCCGTTGCCATGGTGAAGCTTCGACATCGTCAGTTAAGATCATCATGGTAACGGGTAGGAAAATGGCATTTATTAAGATGATCCTGTTTTATTATATTAGGTCATTGATTTTTTTTTTTTTTGCAGCATATATGAATTTTGGGGTTCTCTTTCCTTACAATATTATATGGAATTTTGCTTTGCTGTCTCAGTCAGGTTTGTCTTTCTGTCCTTCTTGCCCTCCTTCCTGTCTTCTTTCCTTCCTTCTTTCTTCTCTTCCTTCCTTCTGTTGACTGTGGATGGAAGAATTCATGCAGTTTCTAAGGATTTCATTTAGGTGTTTCTTTCATTTTCCTCAGTAAGATAGGTAATTTTTGATAGCTGTGTTTGGGAGTAATTCATATCAAATTCAGGTATTTGTATATTACTCTTGAATTTGTCTGAAATTCATTTTGCTATGAGAGCTTAGTATGTGGGTCTTCACTGTTTAAGTATATGTTTTTCCCATGGTTAGAATAGACGAACTTTCGTTCTAGTGTAGAACATTCGAAGGTCCATGATGGGACTTGTCACAGAGAGTGAGAAATCATTTATGCCTATTGTGCTGGTTATCACAGGAAAAACTGCCTCATCACTTTATAGAACCAACTTACAAACTAAAACACTGTTTTAAGAAAGTACAAGCTACCTTTGAAATATGCTACAGAAATTATTTTGAAAAGCAGCGAATATCAGGAAGAGAGCAGATACAGAATTTAGTGCCTTTGAGAAGAATATAATTATGTGGAATTAAGAGGGGTTAGAAGAAAGGCAATTTAGAGAAATATTCTTAAAAATTTTATTGTTTCGATTATGTGAAACAACAGATTAGACAAATTGCTTACTCTTAAGTATTTTTTTAAGCTGAAAAAGACTTATTTTGAGCAAATAACCAAAAAGAGACATGTGTCTATTATATATTAATTTAAATTTGTTAGCTTTAGGTTTCAATAATCATGATTGGCCAGAGACAGTTTTAGCTACCATTTAAAGAAATAGTAAAGATAATCTAGTGAAACAAAAGTTAATACATGTCGTGATTTCAGACATGTTTGTCATGGGGACGATACTGGAGTTTTAGAAATACTATAAAATTGCTTGAATCTCTTTCTGCACTACATACTTTTGATAGAAACACATCTACTATATCGATAAGATGTTATGTTACCCCTGTAAAAACGGAGTTGGCACTTAGATACGATATAGTTGTTAGAGCCCAGCTCATTTGCAGGGCTAGTCTTCCCATGATGCATATGCAGAGAAGAACTTCCTAATGTCAACGGGAGGTCTATATGTATATCCCCAGGAAAAATGACAGATGATTCTGGAGAAAGATTACCTTCATTTTATGGTAGTAAATATATATGTGTGTGTGTGTGTGTGTGTGTGTGTGTGTGTGTGTGTAAAATTTTTTTCAAACAGGAAACAAATATTTCAAGTGACGAATATAAGTGTGGTTCAGAATATATAGTCTAAAACTATGAGATGTCACTGAATATCAAGATGGCATAGCTCATACATGTAGTTGCTGTGACAAGTGACAGACTGCTAGTTCAGAATTTGAAAACCCTTTTCTAGTTTGTGAGATTAATCGGCTGAATTCCTTCTGCTTTTCCTTATGGCGAAGCAAACTGCTTTTGTTTTTGATGAGAGTTCTCAGAAGTTTGTTGGTATTCCTTCGTCCGCAGCATCTGTTGTTGGAATAACCATTTTCAGTCGTGATGCCTTAACCAAGAAGCCAATTGTTAGCCTGAAATGGAATCTCGGTAGCCAGTTCCACCGAACCTAGAGATTAGTCAGAGAAAGCTAGCTGCTGGGCCTTAGAAAGGGATTTTGAGTCCTTTCATTTCTACTTGGGAGCATTTTGGAGCAGATTTTAGTCTTGCAGTATAAAAACAAGTGGCTACCTGATGGAAATTTTTTCTTGCCCTTATAGGGAAACTGAGCACAAGCTGAATGATATTGTCTGCTGCAAGAAAAAAAAAAAAAAAAAGTAAATAAAGCAAGCAAACCGAAGAGAGACAAAATAGACCAATATTGATCCATCTTATCTATCATCTCATCAGTTCAACAGGCTCCTCGTCCTGGGTGAGCTCATGGTTAGAAGTTTTTTTGTTTTTAAAGAAAAGATCTATCCCATACGTGTGTGTGTATACTTACAGTACATACATATGTGTGTGTTTATGTATTTAACGGTGCTAATCAATTTTGAGCAGGTCACGTGACTGGTCATGCGGACTCTAAAATCATATCAGATTTTTAAAAATTCTTGATATATGCAGATGTTATACAGATTTTCTTACCAGTGTAATAATGTTATACTGAAGAAATAACCATCCTGCAGGCTTCAGAGGACGAGGTCAGCAATATTTCCCACCGTGGCTTGGGGGAAAAGGATAGTTTTGTCTCCTTTTGTGTTCAAATTAACGCACAGTGCATTTTTGTGTCTAAGTAGCTGTTGACTAAAAGACTTTGTAGTGTAAAGGGTGTTATACAAACTTGTAATGGTGTGCTTCAAACAAACGCTAGACCCTTTCACCTTTGTCGTATATTACAAAGCTGTTAAATATGTAGTTTGAATTAACTTTGAACATGTTGAAATATGTAGCATGTGTTTTTAACTCAGACGAAGATTCTGACTGCACAGGTTGTGTTCTAGCCAGTTGTGGTTTATTTGTGCAGAAACACAAATGTGAATTGCACTCTTGTCACCAGAATATTGTGTAAGTTCAGTGATCTCTAAACAGCTCAGAAGTAATACTTGAACTTCATTTGAGTAGCACAAAGTTTACATAGCCCCCCTTTTAAATGTTAATTAGTTCCATTTATGTTTTCCGTTTTCAGATGCAACTGGGTATTTTTTTCCTCTTGGAAAATAGTACGTATTTTACTTTGGTATGTAGCAAAAGGCTTCCATTTCTGGAAGGGTTTTTTTGTTCTTAGAAAAGGTCAGCCAGGTACCAGATTCTAGAAGAACAATTGCCCCCCCCCCCCCCCCCCCCCATTAAGTGGCCTTCTGACTGCACGAGAATATGTGCTACTGCCCTGCCCGCTCCAGTCTCCGGTGTGATTGATGGAGGAAGTGCAAGGCTTGCTCTTTACCCACCCCCCACCCCCGCCCCACTTAAGGCAGTTATAAGAGTTTCAGTCCAGAGCATACAGCCCCAGTGTGCAGCACACCGGAAGTTTGTATACTGGCCTCTGTTCATGCCTTCAAATGTGCAGGAAATCCGAAACTGTCATCTGGAATAGGCTCCATCTCTTGTGTGTGTTAGATCAAACCAAAGAAGCCCCCAGCCATGCCCAAATGCTGCTCCAAAAGCCTGCCTTCCAGTCCTTACAAAAACCTTGCAGGATTAAATGTGTTAACTTTTTTATTTTTGTACAGTTTCTAAGTGATTTTTGCTAGTGATGTTAAATTGAATTAAGTTTATTTGAGGGGTGTGAGCACCTCCTCCATTTAAATAAACTGGTGACTTTCCTTTTATTTTATAAAAGCAGAAACCCGTTGTGTGCCTCTCGATTTAAGGGTTTCTGATTACGTTATTCTTAAGACCAGCATTGATCCTTTATATACAAAGAAAGATATGTTTTCCTTGTTTTTTATTACTGTTTCAGAAGAAAATAAACCTTTTATTTTGCTCTGGACCCAGTAACTGCGCTGGTACATAGACGCACTGAGAAAACAAACTTTTGTAACCACCTCTGACTGTTTTTGTATATGAAAGTTGATTACTTTTGAAATATTTGGATCTAGTTTCTAAGTTATTTTTGTGTTTTATATGTTCCCCAAAATTACTTTGAATCGGTCACCAGCATAATGAATTCTTGGTGATGCAGTGGTTGAGACTTGTAATGAGCAAAGCTACCTGGAGTAGCTCTTCTCCTCGTCCCTTTCTTAGCACCCTGTTTTTTGATTACAGTAAGACATCACAGATTACCTGAAACCCCTTCCAGTATAACTAGATCCTCCTTCCTTCCACATTTAATTGCTTAATAGTTTGAAGAAACTATTGGAAATGGGCATTTTATATGACATGTATGGCTTTAAAATAATATTACAAATGAAGAAAAAGAAAAATGGGAAGGTTTATGTGGGTCTGTAAGGTATGGCTGTGGAAAGATATTGTAGTAGTTCTGACACTATTGTTATTATTACCTTTAAAATCATTTACCCAATAAAATGTTAAAACTGAGTTACCATTTGTGGTTTCTTTCTTTAACCGGCCTCATCAGAGGATTTGGGGCTCATGGGTACTTCTTACTAAAAGCTAACAACCAGACAAACAGTTGAAGCCTTTGAAATCATATACTTAGGAACTGATACGGATTTCTTTCCAAACTGGCACTTGGGAAACCTCATCTGCCTACAGTTGCTCCCTAACCGTACGATTTACCTATGTCAGTCAGTCATTCTTTTACCCAGCCGTGAATCCTGGCCTGGTGATACAGTAGTCTGGCCTTTATTGGGCACCCTACCCTGGCCACGGATCTGAGGCAAGCAGCAGACTTGAATTGCAGCGGCGGCACGGCTATGCTTAAGCAAGCCCGCTCCAAATTTCTTCCAGATCAGTGTATTACTGGGTGTTTCCCTTTGTGAGCTGGTAGGGGGCAGTAGCAGTGCCATCCCGCACAATCTGGTGAGGTGGGAAGGCTTTCTTCTGCCATCAAGCCTTTGCCATTTTCTCAGTACAGGACAGAAACTAAACATGCCCAAGATGTGGCCGCTCGGAGCTTGTCCACACTCCTCATACACACGCTGGGCACATCACACACGTAAACGTATTTCCAGTTTTCCAGTTCCAGAGTGGTATGAGATGAACCCTATTCGCCACTTGAGCTTGGGGAAAATGTCTTGAGTATCGGGCAGGGCAACTAGTGCTACTGCCTTCCAAGGGCCAGACGGGAGCCTGCTTCAAGCAAGGGATCTCTCTCGGTGTGCTACCTCTATCAGCTGTTGCCTTATCTCTTCCTCTATGGAAAGGCCATCAGGGACATTGCTGACATACCTCTGGCTCTTTCTAAATCATTTGCTGTCTCAGTTTCATCATGCATATTTCAGGATTAATTTCTAATGAATATATGCAGGACAATTTTCTGTTACGTTGCCCCAAAACCCCACACCCCATGTGAATTTGATGACACGTGCTCGTGTCAATCACAGTGGCTAAAAACAGCCACCTCGGCTCTAGAGGACTATTGTGGTTTGGACTAGTGCTCCATTAAGGCAGCCATCTGCTCAGGGCCAGTTTCATCATTCATGTTTAATGGTACACAGGATTTTTTTAATGATTTAGACGATATTAATAGGTTCAGGTAGAATGAAGTAATTTAATGAGCCCACAGCATTCTCTTTTTATAGCATTAGTGGTTAACTCAGTGGTCTGGACAGATTTCAACTTCAGGAATCACACTCCACCTACCTAAATTCTCCCCAGAGTTTCAGCATTTCCTCTTTAGACTTCATGCCCCACTGGGCACCTTTTAAATTGCTCCACTGCTTCAGAGGGCAAGTGTGACTGTGTGAGTCGCGGCAGTTCCTCTCTGCTGATGGAAAATACTGTCATATCCGAGGGGTACCATCACTGTGAGCTGGGGGGGAGTCTGCTGTGGGGAAACCACACCTGGTCTCAGAGCTGCCAGTCAGGAGCGCTCAGTGAATGACTGCCATTCAGAGAATGGCTTCTCCCACTTTCTGCAGCTCTGACCGCATGAGCCGAGACAAGTGTGAGTTTGGACCAAGCTCTGATGGCTTCCCATCTGTCTGCCCAGGCTTTTCACCGGCCAGAGGAATAGCTGAATGGGAGGATGCAACTGAGGCAGGCCCTGGGTATACTGCTTTGGCTACTATATTCAGCGGCCTTCCTCGATCCCTTTAGCGCATGGTACAATCCCCTGTTCCGAACCCCCAGCCTGTTGGAAGAAATCTTTTTAAGAATCGGAAAAAAAGCTGCCTTAGGGTCCAAGCCAGTTGGACCCTCCTCATCCCAAGAACTTGGTTATAACCATGTTTAAAATGACACTTAATATATTACGATGTCCCGAGTAGATGGACTATGTATCTCAAATGGTTTCAGTGGACCCACCCAGAGGGCTGGTGAGGGCGTACGCGTTATATGAAGAAACACTGACCTGCACTTGCAGATTTCCATCATGACGGATGATCACATTAGCTCGACAGAGGTTAGGTGTAGGATGCACTAAGTCTGGAGCGCGCGCTGGGCGGTGGCTGCATTGCGTGTCTCTGTGCTCACAACTGCCCTGGCGTCCTTGAGTTCCTGCTCCCACTCTAAAAGGATGCAGCCAAGTCACAAGGGGCCGGTAATTTGTTTAGCCTTTAGTCTCCCCTCCATGCTGGAAGAACCTCTTTGCTTTTTAATCGGAATCTTAGCTGGCACCTCGTTAAGTTACAAGTACGAGACTAAAAACAGTATTTCACTGTTATAAAGTACGAATGCATACCAGTTACTTATAAAGTTAATGAGAACGACGAGGCTGTTTGGGTGACTGACTATACAAATTTGTAATCGGGGTGACAGATGACAGTTGTAGTTAGAGTCCCAGCGCTCCATTGATTTCTATATTGTTTTGGCTGTACAGCAGCAAGAAGGTCCTGATTTGCAGAGAGAAAGAGGTGGTATCTTAATATAGTTTCATGAAAGTGAGTACATACTGGCCTAAATTATAAAACCCCGGTGCAGTCACAACCTTCTGAACCAGGCCTGACAAGGGAGGCCTGCAAGAAGTTCAGGCAGGAGAAGCATCAGGCCTGAGGTTTGAACAGAATGTGTCAACTTGATGGTTCCTGCCGACCCACTGGGTGGTCTTCAGTTGCCATTCTGAATGTAACACATTAGATGTTTTGGTTAGGTGTTTGGGTTTTGTCTGTTTTTTTTTCAGTTTTTATTACAGTGTTTAAATATTATACATTTAAACACACACACGTTTTTTGAATCAAATGTTTATGGAAACTTCGATCAGTTCCAACAGAATGCCGGGTCCCGGTCCCGCGGGACAATCTGAAAACCACTGCTGCTGCCCCAACGTGCCCAGTTATTTTGAGAGCCTTTGGCAAAGCATCATTTCATCTCCTTTTCCATTTGGCCTTTTCCTCCCAAATGTCAGGCTCAACGTGATCCATCAATATTTACTGAGTGCCCGCCCCCCCCCCCCCACCCGAGGCATGGCACCGTGCTTGGTTTCAGAATAAAGATAGTATCATTTTGTAAGACAAATTAACAGTTCACTCTGAGCTAAGAGCTGTGAGTGGCATACAAGTTTGGTCTAGCTGGCAGGAGTCATTCAGACTGGGGCCCAGGTGACATTGGGCTGGATTTATAGTGTTTCCCTTAAATGGCTCCCACCTCAGAGTGGCATTAATGAGCAGAGTTGTAGCGGCCCTGTTGGGAAATGGCATTTCTTTGGCCCTCCGACGTGTTAGCAGTAGAGACCACCCAGAAACCGGGCACGGGTCATGGTTCCCTGAGCGGAGGAGAGGATTTGTTCCCACAGTGAGGCTATCTTGCTCCCTAGCAGGAATGCCACGGTGGTTGGGAGAGAAATTATCAGTACATGACCGTATAAGAGACAGGTCTGTGTACGTGCAGAGTGGCATTTGGTGGCTCAAAGTTTTTTGTTTTTTTTTTACTGCAGATCTGCCCTCTGAAAGGTATCAGGCCCTTCCCATGACCAGGAGAGAGAGAGCAGCACAGAGAGAAACTACGCTGTTTGCTCTACGAGGCTGCCCTGAGGCCTGAAGAAAGGTTATAGTATGCTGACTAATGGAAAAACCCATTCATGAGGCAGGAGGAGAGATAAGACAGTGAGGGTAACCCACCCAGAGAGGGAAATCAGAGTCACTTTCTGAATCACCCGCTACATAGAAAGGGCAGGAAGGCAATATTAAATTTGGATATTATAAAACAGGAAACACAACTGGTACACAATAGAATGTTTAAATCACATTTTGACTGACAGGAAGCTGCGGAGAGTCGCAGTCATTGCCTGAACACCAGGCAGATTTGAAACTAGGAGCTGCTATCGTCACTTTTCATCAAACTAGAATTTCCATCCCCACCATATTCTGGAATGATCCAGCGTTAGCGTATGTGTCAACATGTGTAAGTGGATTTGCGTGCATCAGCACAGGAGACAGGGGCTGGCCGGACCGTTGGATGGGGCAGTCAAAGTCCCCACTCGCACACAGCCTGGCAGGGTAGAAAGGGGGGTCTTGGATTGGAAAGAGCGGAAAACCCCCGTCTTGTTTGAAGGACAGTACTAGTGTGAGTAACGCAAACGTTTCCCTAAACTTTCTCTACTTAAACATTCACATGAATTCCAGGAACTCTGCACGGAGATATTGCCGCCCCGCTGGAACAGGCCTCAGCAATGGCCCCTTTCCCAGAATTGTGGTGGGGGACAGTGGTGGGTGGCCATAGTGACCTCTGTACATGAAGCCATGCCCCTCAGTGCCTAGCCTACGTGGTCCATGGTGCTCATGAATCATGGGGTTGAGAAGAGGAACACGGGGTTAATCCAGTCGTTCAAATAGGTTGGGACTGCTCCTGCAGGGTACGTTGGGCCCCTCCTCCCCCCTTTGGGTTTGTACCACTCCAGAAGGATCTGTGGCCTTGGAGAAGATCAAACAGAGATCGCTAATGGTCAGCCCTAGGCTGGGAAAGTGCAGGCAACACATTTGCTCTTGGGAAGGTTACCCGGTGAGTCCTGTGAGCAGGGTGCACAGTGCACTTGAGAGTTAAAAAGAAATTCCTTTCTTTTCACCTCCTTTTGTTGACTTTTTTTTAATTGCGGTGAAATCCACATGACACAATTAACCACTTGAAAGCACACAGTTCAGTGGTATTTACTGTATTCGCGATGTTGTGCAAACGCCGGCTCTCTCTAGTTTTAAATTTTTTTCATCACTCCATAAAACGCTCCGTCTCTATTAAGAGGTCACTCCCCATTCTCCTTTGGCCATCACCTAAGTAACCTCTAGTCTTCCGTCTCTCTGAATTTGCTTATTCTGCACATATCATATAAATGGAGTCATACAACGTGTGACCTTTTGTCACTATCTTCTTTTACTTAGCATAATGTTTTCCAGGTTAGTCCAAGTTGTTGCATGTTTCAGTACTTCGTTTCTTTTGATGGCTGAGTAATATCTCATTGTATGTACAGACCACAATTTGTTTATCCATTCGTCCACTGATGGACATCTGGGCTGTTTCAGTCATTTGGCTCTTAAAAATAAAGCTGCTACAAACACGTGTGTCTAAGCTTCTGTGTGGACATTATGTTTTCATTTCTCTTGGGTAGATACTTAAGGATGGAATCGCCAGGTCATATGGTAATTCTACGTTAAGCTTTTTGAGAAACAAACTGTTTTCCACAGTGGCTGTACCATTTTACATTCCCACCAGTATGAAGGTTCCAATTTCTCCACATCCTCACCAATACCTGTTATTATCTTTTTGATTACAGCCACTCTAGTGGGTATGAAGTAGTATATCATTGTGGTTTTGATTTGCATTTCCTTAATGACCAGTGATGCTGAACACCTTTTCATGTGCTTATTGGTCATTTGTGTATGTTCTTTGGAGAAATGTCTCTTCGAGTCCTTCGCCCAATTTGTAATTGTGTTGTCTTTAAGAGTTTTTCATGTATTCAGGATATTAAACCCTTATCGGATATATGATTTGAAAATATTTTCTCCCATTTTGTAGGTTGTCCTTTTCACATTCTTGATAGTGCCCTTTGGTGGACAAAATTTTTTAAATTCTTATAAAGTCCAATTTATCTATTTTTAATTTATTTTAATTTTGTTGCTAATGTTTTTGGTGACAAATCTATGAATCCATTGCCAAATCCTGTGTCATGAAGATTTATCCCTATGTTTTCTTCTAACAATTTTAGCCCTTATATTTAGGTTGTTGGTCTCTTTTGAGTTAATTTTCCTACATGGTGGTGTACTCCAATGGTTGATTTTCTTATGTTGAACCACCCTTGCATTCCTGGGGTAAGTCCCGCTTGGTCATGGTGTATAATGCTCTCAATGTGTCATCGGATTTGGTTTGCTGGTATTTTGTTGAGGATTTTTGTGTCTGTATTCATAAGGATACTGGTCTGTGGTTTTCTTGTGGTATCTTTGCTTGCTTTGGTATCAGGGTAATGTTGGCCTTATAGAATGTGTCAGGAAGTGTTCCTTCCTCTTCTATTGTTTGAAAGAGTTTGTATAGGATGAGTGTTAAAGCTTTAAATGTTTGGTAGAATTCACCAATGAGGCCTGGTTTTTTTTTTTTTTCTTTTTTTTAAGTTGGGGGGTTTTTGATTACTGATTCAATCATCTCTTTACTTGTTCTAGATCTGTTCATGTTTTCTATTTCTTCTTGAGTCAGTTTTGGTAATTTCCATGTTTCTAGGAACTTTTCCATTTCATCAAGACTAATTTGTTGGCATACAACTGCTTATAGTATTCTCTTATAACCCTTTAAATTTTTGTAAGGTTGGTGGTAACATCCTTGCTTTCATTTCCAATTTTAGTTACGTCTGTTTTTTCTTAATGAGTCTAGCTAAAGATTTGTCAATTTTGTTGATCTTTTTAAAGAACCAACTATTGGTTTCATTGATTCTATTTTTTTTTCTATTCTCTATTTTATTTAACTCTGCTCCAACCTTTATTATTTCTTTCCTTCTGTTGGCTTTAGGTGTAGTTTGTTCCTTTTTTTCTAGTTCCTCAAGGTGTAAAGTTAGGATGTTGATTTCAGAGATCCCTTTTTAATACAGGTGTTTAAAGCTATAAACGTAACTCTGACCACTGGGGAGATTGGGATTGACATATACGCACTACCATATATAAAACAGATAACTACTAAGAACCTTCTGTAAGGGAACTCTACTCAATACTCTGTAATGACCTACGTGGGAACAGAATCTAGGAAACAGTGGATATGTATAACTAATTCACTTTGCTGTACAGCAGAAACTAACACAACATCGTAAATCCACTATACTCTGATAAAAATTCATAAAAAATAAAAAAAAGCATATCACAAGAAATATATGCAGAAAAAAAATTTAAATGGTACACTGTATTTCCCTTTTCATTCATCCCAAAGCATTTTCTAATCTCCCTAGTGATTTCTTCTTTAGCCCATTGGTTAAGTGTGTTGTTCGATTTCCACATACTTGCAATATTATCAGCTTTTCTTCTGTTTTTGATTTCTAGCTTTATTCCATTTGGTCAAAGAAGATACTTTGTTTAATTCCAATCTTAAAAAATTTAGTGAT